TTATCTTTAAGTCCATAACGTTTTTACACCTGAATATCATGTTAATCACTTTTCAATTAATCATGAAAACACATGTTAATTATAAGGTAAACAGCTAAAAGAGTTGTCCGCAATTAATGTTTGACGAGGCCGGTTAGGGGGAGGGTGAGTAAAGATGACCACCTGAGGTATGTTTGAACTTAACACAGAAAAAAAACTGGGTTTTATTGCCTGCGAGCTATTCCTTTCTGCCTGTGAGCTGTTTATATGTTTAGGTTAAGTTAGAAATTGTCTGAAACATCCGTAGTAGAACATCTTTAAAAAAAAAAGACTGAATTTTCACTTCTTTCACGAAACTTAAAAACAAACGAATAAAAACGAATAAATTAAAAAAAGCGCACGTCTTGTATAAAGTGGCTGCTGGCATTTTTATATCAAATACGCGAGAGAACCCCAGTCATAGATAAAACTGGGTCGCGGCTCTATCCACTATTTCTCCCTTCCAATATGTGTTAATATATCTTTTTATTATTTTATAACTATAGACATATATCACGCTTAAAAACGTTTAAACATGCTCGTGTCACGCAATACAGTTGCAAGTATAAACTTGCAATAGATAAAAGTCCTGACATATATTACCAAATAACCTGTATACCAAAATGATATCATGTGCACTACGGAATTATGTCAGGTTCTTACCATGTTAATATAACAATTTAAAACGTACAATCTCGAAAGAACGATAAAGAATAGGCCAAAATGTTATATAGTATCGACTCAATTTCAATGACTTCAACGTGAGGTAGCGATGACGAAAAAAAACAACAAAAAACACAAAAAAAAAACATCGTATTTCACTCATCGTGTGTTCACGTTTTTTTGTATTGTATTTTCGCCAAAGCACCAAAATTACTTTAAAATTTTCATGATCGTGATTCACGTGTTTTTTTTGTATTTTTGTCACATAACCTTATTACTTGCACATTTTCATCACCGTACTTTAACATTTTCATCATCGTTCTTTCGGATTTTTGTCAACGTACTTTCAAGATGTTTTCATTTCTCTAGCGGTGATAGACCACAACTCAAAAAAGCTTTTGCGTGTCAAAACTTTTCATTCAAATTCGAACATGTAAATAGGTCCTACAGAATACTGTAGTTCACAGCCGCGTTATCCAATGTTACGATACGACACCGTAGGCATTTGATATAATTATCACTGCAAAGTCAAAAGTCTCAAAGTCAAGTGGTTGCTATTATAACATATACATGTACAAATCCCCACTATTATTTAATCTGAAACAAGGTCCATATTTTTATCAAGAGAAGTAAAATATGTAAGGTTACATGTACAGATACTTTAATAAATAAAGTCAAAGTCGAGATTTTATACAATTTGTTTAAATTTTTAAGTTCACACCGACCAAATTTTCAGCTTAAATTTACTGATTGAGGGAGATCTCTAGCCCAATGACGTCAGGCCCAGTGTTCACCAGGATCAAAATCAGAAACATATTTAAAAACTCAATATTCCCCCATGGTTTATCCTCATAGATTAAATATTTTATATTAACTGGATAAAATCGAACTTAAAATAGCATGTTTATGAAACTTTAGAAAAAAAACTTATTGTCATTTTGGTAAGATATTGGCATTTTACAGTTGATCCATACGGAATATTATGTTGTAGTAGCTTTCTGTGGCTTTGTATTTTGCTACGAGCAGCGGTGGAAAATTGATATCTCGCGAGACCGAAGGTCGAGCGAGATATCAATTTTCCAACGATGCGAGTAGAAAAATACATAGTCTCAGAAAGCTACCACAACATAATTTTCCTTTTATTATATACCTTTTCGGTTTATTCAGTAAATGAAATGTAGTTGTCAAGAAATAAATTCATGACTGACGGATGAAAACGTAATTCTTGAAAACCGGCCACGCCTTTAATAATTTTGGTTCCCGTTTCCAAATGCAACGTTATACAAAGCTAAGTTCGGAACCAGCGTCAATAATAGTCCGTCACTTCCATATATGGTACCGTATTTGTCACTAACATAATACGAACATTTCTATCCGATGAAACGTATTTGCGCTTCAATATTGGCGTGTATTTTAGGGAGAAAATTTATAGGTATATAATAAAATGAAAATATCGACAATAATCTTCTGCACTGTGTATTGTAATCTTTGGATTTTTAAAAACAATCGATAATATTGATTTTTCTTATCAATTAAGCACAAGACTTACATGTGAATTGATTTTCATGCAACATCTTAATCCTGCATAAAGATAGCGATTTTTGCACTGACAAAACTGTGCTCCTATATTCACTGCAGAATAATTTGAAGCCTGAAACTAAAATAACAGACATGTGTTGGTGTCCTGGCATGCCTTTTATAACTAACATATTCAAATGCAATGTGTGTTTGTGTTTTTAAATTTAACATGAGCAACCAATGCCCTACGGTTGCTATAAAAAATGGCGAATATACTCATTTTGTCGCATATAGGCATGTCCTATTTCTAAGAAAGTAAATATTGTCAGTAAACTGTCATGGAAACATAGAAATGGGTTTCTCTGCTAAAGGTTTCTATAATTTTAAAATTATTGTTAAAAAAAAGTCGCAGATTTTTTTTTTTGTAGAACATGTTAAAACCGTGAAACTGCCCACGCCCGTGTGATTATTACGCGACACCGGTCGTGTTTTGAGCATAAACTTTATTCATCATTTTGGATATAATTTCATATCTCAAATATAATTTGACATTGATATTTACTGCTTAATCCTTTAGATTAAAGATAAGATATTTTTGTCATTTACCGCCTACTTATCAGTTTATGAAAAATGCAATGTATTTTTTGTTTCGAAATCCGATTATGGCTACTTGAGTGGAAACATTTTTTTTAAATATTTAGATATGGTGGCTGATTTGGCACACTTTGATCGTTGCGTTGTCGACAGCAACAACACAACCTATATCGTTATCGCCTTTGCGTCATGTAGTCTTGTCACTAGCAAAACGCGCCAAACAGCGCGTTGTCGCACAGTCGCCGTGTCGTCCTGTCGCTAGTGAAGCACGCCAAACGGCGCGTTGTGGCGATGTCGCTTGGCTTATATATATACAAATAAACAATTCGTCGATTTGAACCGAGCAAAAATGTGACATCGCGACATCACGCCGCACGACAACCCGCCGTTTGCTGTGCTTCGTTAGCGACAGGACGTCAGTGCGGCAACGCGCCATTTGGCGCTTTGTCTTGCTGTCGCCAGCGACAACACGACGCACAAAAGTGTTCCAAATCAGTCACCATATCTAGATCTAACCACATCAATAAGTGGATGTTAAATATCGGGAAATTTATTTTAGGCACCCTCTTATCAATATAATATATATGAAATGCTGGGTTCTTCTGCTAAGTTGCTATTTTTGTGTCGGGCTTAAATTTCCCGCGTTATGCTAAATTTCGAATTTTGATAATAATTTAAATGTTTCAGATTTAAAAAGCTTATTTTTCTATCATTGTTCGGGGTCTATGTAATTATGCAAGTAACGCACGTGTTCTCTATAGCAAAATGGCAATAACGTTAAGTAATTCAAGAAAACGTTCGACATTTTAGATATAAATACTTCATCCTGTCAAACATTTGCGAAAATAGGGAGAATGAAAGTATTTATATATCAATGTGAAACACATACTTGAGATGTGATTGTTGTGTTTAGAATCGAAAAATGAAGTTGTTTATATTTTGCCATGGCGTAATATCTAAAAGCTGTTATAAATTGCACTCTACCGTCTTAATAAGCTACAAACAAATCATTCTGCACTTCTTATTACATTTATAAATTATCTTTTACGTTAAATTATATAAACGAATGTTTAACGAATCCAGGGGGTCTGTAATGTAAGGCCATGTTATTTGACAAAAAATGGCATATGTTCTTTTCATCTCTGGATATTATAATAGCAGAAAGCGCCGAATGTCGGCAAGTGATCATTGAAGTTTTTTTTTCTAATTTAAATGTAAAGTATATACAATATATCATTAAGATATTAGTAGTACTTACCGATTGATAAACAAGACCAGCCCGCAGACAGCGCGCTCCACTTTTCTATAAGCCAGAAAGTAAGATAAAAGCAACATAGAAAAAGGGAAAATAGTTTCAGGATTATCATTTAGAATTGTGTTCACTTTTGACAATAAACATGTATAAGAAGTTTGAAGCGAATAGCTTTAGTACTTTCTGAGAAATTAGACCTTGACGCCGACGAAGAGTGAAGTTAAAAAGGAGAAATTCGTCACTTCTATCAAGTGTTGCGGTTGAGTGCACACCTACCTCCGGCAGCCCCATCATGAAATCTATTCTCTTGACTCAGTTGTCTTGGGCGTTGTAATATTCGCTTATAAACTGGTGGTCGCGAGTTTAAATACCAAATAAAGCCCGAATCATTTTCTAATGCATCTGCTTTTCTTTATTATGATCATAAAAAATTGTGAGACAAGTGTGTTTTTCGCATATAAAATATGTCTGATTCATGAAGTCTTGAAATATGAAAAGGTACCATTCCCCCTCCTCCAAAAAAAGTAAATATAAAAAACAAAAATAATGATAGATAATATTAACCCAACAAACAGACCCCTAAAAAGAAAGAAAAACAACACAAAACAACACAAAATAAACACCAATAGTAATAAATCAAACAAATAATAACAACAACAAACATATAATAGCAAACAAACAAAAATAAAAGAATCGGTAGATATTTTGCATATATGCAACGGGCAATAAACTTTGGACATAATATCTGTCATATGTTGCGGTTCGGATCGGAATATCCGTCCCGAGGGGACCCGCCCATTGGGCGGTAACGAGGCTTGCCGAGTTACCGACCATGGGCGGGTTCCCGAGGGACGGATATTCCGATCCGAACCGCAAACATATGAAAGATATTTTTTCTTGCATAATCAAAATTTTTTATTATACGTATACAAGATTTGTTTACATTTTATTTCAGACGACTGAATTAGGGATGGCTGATCGTGAATCTAAAAAGAAGTTCTTTCCTAAAGGAGGACAACCTGCAATGTTTCAATCATTGAAGAGAAATTCTCTAGGTATTGTTTTATTTCTACTACTTAAGTACTCATTTCGTCTTAAGTTTTTATAAGCAATAAACTGTTTACGCCACTTGATACTAAGATTATCAAACTTAAATGTCTTTGGTATAAATTTGGGCAGCTTCATCGCTTTCTGCGGAGAAATTCCAAATTCCACCCCTCGCCCAGCCAAAAAATTTTTTTGGCAAATGGTCCAAATGAAAAGATAAGTGTAAGAGTGTTAGTAGTATTATGCAGTGATTAATTTTCACTTAGTTGAGAACTGCATGATTTTTAAAAAATTTCTTTTGGGAAGAGGACTTTATAAAAAGGCCTCTGTTATTAAACATAAGTGAAAAAATTATATATGCCCTTTAATTTTGCAGCCATCTTAAGACTGGAAGAGTAAGACATAAGTATATGCAGCAAATGTTTTTGCTTTTAACAATACATATTGTAATTTCTAACATATTGTTGTTTAATGTCCATTCTTATCTTATAATTTTATTTAAACATATTTTATTTGTCACATACAAGGACATATTTACATACATGACATTAACACAATTTATACACAGTCGGAAGCAACCTAATGCAAGTTTATTGAAGTCCTTTCTTATCTCATTTGAATAAATATTAAAACGAATTATTTGTAGTAAGAGTAAAACTTTCAACTAGTATTATTATTCAACATGGTACGTAAACAAATGTCTAGTACAAAATTCCATGTAAATTTGAAGGATTACGGAACCTAATGGGCATGTTAATCAGCCGCCATATTGGTATCTAATGATATAATGACGTCACAGTGGAAAATACTCTTGTGCAACAAAAGTTGCTAAAAATAAACAATTCGAAGTTCCTTGCTAGCAACTCTGTGTGAAATAATGTATCCTTCTAAATTATATATTTTAAAAAATGCGACTGCATATTTAGGTCACACAAATCCGGCTTACGTGAAAGACGATGACGACGATGACGACATCTCTCAAGATCTCGCGTGCAACAGCGGAAGTGACATGAGCTCTGGGGAGTCTGACGTGGAGACTGATTTACAAACACCGGAGTCAAGAAGGTTTACTAGCTTAACTTTTTTAGCTTAAGAACAAAACCAATCTTGCCAGTTTGTCGTCTGCAAATTCATAAATTTTAGTGTTGAAACCTCTAATACCAAGAATGAACATTTCATTATATAATTATCTTCACTTTTTCACATATCATGTTGAGTTTAATTAGTAATATATTTCAAAAGATTGACTTTAATACGGTGAAGGGCTCAATAATTGATGATAAAAAACATTCATGATACAATATAAAATGAACTAAATTATAAAAGAGCATCAGTGTCTATTACATTTAGTGTTTAAAATCTGCAACACAGTTGCGCACGTGCACTTATACAGTTATCACATTTTATTACATGCTTTTCGGTGGTTTATAGAAATATATCAGTGATATAAAATTGGTAATTTCACTGCTTGAAACAGTGAAATTACCACTTTGATAATCTCACTGTTTTGAATTTAAGCCCCTTACGTTGTTTCAGTGACATACCAGCGTGCACAGTACTGGGTACCAACTTAATGACGTGACGTCGTAAATGACGTCACGTTGTATTATTATTTGGCGCGCTTTTCATTCAGTATTAGGTTTATTGTATTTTTAAAACGTTACTAAGCATATGATAAAAAGAAAATTTGTTTAGTTTAGTGTAAGATCGAAATATATTTCACCTTGTGAACACCAAAAGTTCATATTTCACTCGTGGCTGCGCCACTCGTGAAATATACCTTTTGGTGCTGACTCGGTGAAATATATTCCGATCTTACACTGAACTAAACAAATATCCTCTATACCTTCTTGTTATTATCATAACCATTATCATTATTATTATTATTATTATTATTATTATTATTATTATTATTATAACTATCATTACCATCATTATCATTATCATAATCATTCATTATCATTATAATAATAATAATAATAATAATAATAATAATAATAATAATAATAATAATAATAATAATAATAATAATAATAATAATTAATAATAATAATAATCATCATCATCATCATCATCATTATTATTTTTATTATGACCATCATCTTCATAATCATTTTCATTATTATTATTATTATTATCATTATTGATCAATATTGATTTGCAGCATCAATGACAGCGAATCATTGCAGAAAACTAAACTGGGGAATGGCGCCGTTGCAAATGGCGGTAAAAATTTTAACGTTGCCTTTGACGATTTAAAGGAAAACGCAGCCCCCATGCCACCAATACAGTAAGTATAGCAGTTTAGCAAGCTTATATGCCAATTTTTTAAAACTTTACACCACGGAACTTTACACTATACATGCAGGTACTTTTAATAAAATATAAAGATAGTGAAGCCACTCTGAATCAAACAGGAAGTAGATCTCCAACTGAAGAGCAGTTCAAGAGTTATACCGCAATGTAAGACTAGAATAAATATACTTCTTTCAAAACTTCTTTTAAAACATACTTTTGATCTTTCTCCATTGCTAGTTATGAGTGAATAATAATTTATACATACACCTTTGCACTTCCACCAAAAACGTTAAAAATATATCAAAAAGCATCTTAGTGATGAAGATGATGATTATTTTTATCATTTCTTTTTCAGAAACAAGGGAAAGAAGGAACAAAAATCATGGGACAAGTTCACATCGTCAACGAAAGAAAACATTTCTAGTTCAGATATAAAATTCTGGGATAAAATTTTTGTAATAACAAAGCTAGTTGTTTGCTTTTTGTTATTTTTCTTCACTCTTGGAACAGCGGTGATCAGTAAAATTTGCCTAGTTATAGTAACCGCAAATATTTACCCGAGAAAGGATTCTTCGCCGCCACTAAATAATTTGAAAACGCTTAATGGAACGCTGAAATATACACACGAAGAGACGAATGTACAATGGATATGGGCTCTTATTATGATGGCAGGAGCCCCTTATTTATTCTCCTGTTTTAAGTGTTTATGGCGACTTCTCTTTCAGATGTCAGGGAGAGGATCACCAACTTACCAAGCTATACTTGGGGTAAATGTCTGGGCTTTTTTTAAATAAATTGCTAATGCCTTAACTAAAAGAGCAGGATAAGTTATTATATTGAAATAAATTCATAATTTAAAAAAAGAGCACAATGTTACTGCAAAGTTACGTAAATATGAGACTTAAATTTTTTCAAAAGTAAAAGCTTTCTTCGACACTAGGTTAATGTCGAAATTATTACGTTAAAAAGATAAGGGTGAATTTGAAGTAAAAAATGAACATGTATATATGCATATAAGTTTGATCAAATTTACTTTGGTACATATATTGTATGTTTGTATATTAAAAAAAGGTCAAAGGTTTATCAAAAGTACAGAAATGCTTTATAAATACCTAAATATGAAAAATTGATTTTAAAGTTATATTACACTACAGTAAAATTATAATGAATTTAAAAATTTAAAGCCAGGGTTACAGGAAAGTAATTTTAAAGGACTAGATTTGGTTTTAGTTTACATAAGCAAGTTATTGTAATTCAGGAGTTGATAGTCTTCGATTCTAAAATACATTTTCTAAAATTATGACTTTTCTGAATGACTCAATGAAAAGTATGATAATGAAAGTCCCGACAATCATTAAAGTTCTCCTTAACCGATACTTTGCTTTAACCGGTTTTTTGACTTACACGACATTTTACGGAATTTCCTGTCTCTAAGGAAAGTGGGTTGTATTCTTATAGTTTGGCTGATTCTTACTGCCATATGTATTTAATTACAGGTTTTAGGTGTTGAAACAATACATTCAATAGGTCTCAATTTGATGATATTTGTTGTTGTACCAAATTTGGATCCTTTATCCGGGCTTCTTTTTATGCTGTGCGTTGGCGCGTTTCCCGGCTTGATGAAGGTGAGTATACTTCATACTTTTACAATGAAAGCAACCATTGTTATAAAAATGTATATTTAGATACGATATCTTTATAATTTCTTTAAGATATTCATATTTCTGTTAATGGTTTATTCTGTTCTCGTGTATGATTCATTTATGCTCATGTTGCTTCTTTGAATTACAAATACTAATTTACAACAATAAAAGATCAAGATAAAATGATCATTGTTTATTTATCAAAATGCCATCTTTATAAAAATTTATGTTCAATTCCGGACAAGTTCGGTAATATTCTGCTACGTCTGTATAATAATCATTTTGACGATCGCAATAAATCCGTGCCGTTATGAAAATTGATCGAAAAGTATTTGGCAATCTCCGTTTATTATGCAAAGACGAAGTCTGAACAATCTTGTCGTCCAGTAAAGATAGTTAAATGATATAAACATACCAATGCTCTCAATTGCAATCAGATAATTATAAATCTAATTCAGAATATAATATATAATAAGATATCTTTTCTTGACAGATCATTTACCCTACTGTTGGACCTTCCAAACTAAGAGATACAAACGCACGGCCGTCTTGCACAACATCCATCTTCGTCACCGTCATCAGCTTTATCGGGGCGGCTGGCCAGTTAGTAGCATTAGGTGAGTCTGTTTCTAAGTTAAACATAAGTCTTTGTTGTTGTGAAAGCCAAAAGCTATAAAAACAAATTTTTTGTTATGACTTGATATAGCTTTGATATTGAAAAACGTTTAAAAAACCTCAAGCATAAAAACATCAACCAATGATTAAAACTTTGATAATTTAAAGATAAAAATGAAAATGAAATCAGCCTAGTGATATCTATGGTAGCTGATTAGCGCCATGTTGTGGTCATACTGATGTACTTTCGTGTTTTCGCCTGGTGCCCCGCGCAGCAAAAGTACGACAAAGTGATAATTGTCGAATTTTCGTGTTAAAGTGACCAAAAGCGAAAGTACATTAAAGTCATTACTTTATCGTATTTTCATGTTTTTGCATTGCGCACCCAGACATATCACGCATCAGCCACCATAGTTATTCTTTGCTTTGTAGATAGTTACATAAAGTTTTTTGCGATGACTATAAGTACATGTACGTCATAGTCTCTCAATGACCTTGATCTACATAGATATCTAAAATTGATTTGAAATGCAAAATTTTAAATACAACACAATAATGTATGTCAAAGCAGCCAACTATTGTAGCTTGATATATGTTATATTTAAATAATGAAATTGAAGGGAAAATGTTAGTAATATCCGACATTGTGCTGCGCATGCGCAAACAAAAGGTCTCTTGACGGAACATGAAAATACTAGAATTGTAGCGTTTCGATGTTTTGTTTTAAATTAAGTTTCAATACTTTTCACATGTTGTTTGTTTAATGATTATATGTAATGAATTGATTTGTTCTAGGTTTTTGGCTCTTCCACATTTACTTAGAATTTAACAAAGGGTTTCCGGGCACCACTTACACGGCATGTATGATCGTTGCCCCCATTTTCACAAGTGTGTACTGGTGGGAGAACTATGTTTACGAAGGTAAAAAAGACTCATATGGCATCCCACGACTAGCTCGAGAAATGAGGAAAAGCCGCACAAAGTTGACTCTATACGCAAACTTCTGGAAAATGATTTTAACCCTAGTTCTTCCAATCGCTATTTATGGAGTAAAGTGTGGGACAGATAGTGAGTGTACTAATACCCTGTATTTTAAGCACGATGTTGCCAAATTGAACTCTGGTATTGGTCATATTGATCTGACCTCGAAAAAAGATTTCGGGAAATGCAACAATCATTTACCCCTTGTCGTCGCCGCTATTGGTATACTCTGCAGCGGCATCTGTTTCAAGGTCGGCAAAGTCGCGTGTAAGATAATGACACAGATTGTTGACTATTCATTGCCTTTGGTTCTAACCACGCCCACAACTATCGGAATTATTCTGTGGATGTACGGTGGATTTCTAACGACGGACGATATTGGTTGTGAAATACCGTTTCCGAAATGGGCCAAAAATGATGGCGCCAAAGTATACTTCGGACATTTCTTAGATGATCCTGAGATTTGGATTCCGATTATAGCAGGACTAATTGGCTTTGTTTCTCTTCTGCTAATAACTAATCACGTTTGGACCCCTGGTAAAGAACGACTTCAAAGGACCGACAAGTAAGCACCCTCTACTTTGCTTCAATACTTACTAGTAAGCGTTTGTTGTCATAAACTATGTTTCTATTTTACAAAATAACAATTGCCTCTCTTTACATTTGAGCCGCGTCATGACAAAACCAACATAGTGGGTTTGCGACCAGCATGGATTCAGACCAGGTCGCAAACCCATTATGTTGGTTTTGTCGTGACGCGGCTCATTTGTTTTTTTGTTCATTAGTTTCTTTATCGTCCTTTGTATTATAGATATAAAAAAATATTACATTCTTTACTTAAATTAAATGCCTTGGTTGAAGGACCAGCCAATCAAACGCGCCGTATATTCTACCGGAAGTAGTAAGCAGAGAGGTGAACCCACGTGATACTAAGCTGCGTATGGACTAAGTTTTGCTATCATGCTGTTTGTAATGTAAGGGAAGATCAATAAATGATAAATGATTCTCTTAAAATAAAACAAAATGCACAACATATTAATGAATCGGTACACTATAATTATGATTATAAAAAGAAAAGAATATAATCATTGCGCATGTCTACAAATGTTCAATAATACTGCAAATATACAAGGTGCATTTTTGATCCCATAACACGGGTTTACAAAGGGAGAAAACAATGACTCTAGTGATTGTATGGCATTGATGACAATAACAAAAGTGATCACTCGATAATGTTTTTTATATTTATTAATAAAATTATCACATTATTAGGATACATTACAATTAATATAGTGATCACATTTATGCATTTCAGTTAATATACTGGTCACATTAAATACCTTACAACTGATGAAAGGGATCACATTTAATACATTACAACTGATTTAAGGGATCACATTTAATACATTACAACTGATTAAAGGGATCACATTTAATACATTACAACTGATTAAAGGGGTCACATTTAATTCATTACAACTGATGAAAGGGATCACATTGAATACATTACAACTGATTAAAGGGATCACATTTAATACATTACAACTGATTAAAGGGATCACATTTAATACATTACAACTGATGAAAGGGATCACATTTAATACATTACAACTGATGAAAGGGATCACATTTAATACATTAAAACTGATTAAAGGGATGACATTTAATACATTACAACTGATGAAAGGATCACATTAAATACATTATAACTGATGAAAGGATCACATTAAATACATTATAACTGATGAAAGGATCACATTAAATACATTATAACTGATTAAAGGGATCACACTAAATGCATTATAATTAACATAGTTACCATTAGACATCGCCATGATTTTTTAAATTGTCAAAAAAAAACAACATAAAACAAAAAACAACAACAACAAGAACTATTTTTGCTATTGGTCATCGTATGGGTTCATTTTACTATTGTGATCATCAAACGGCAATTATCTAATATCCTTTAAAGACTTTTACGGTATTGATTAAAATTGCTAAAATGATCAAACGGCGTTAAATACGATAGGCATTGTGATCCTATATAATGATATAAAACTACTTTAGCGATTGCAATGCGTGGTATTCGCTTGCCATTATAGTGGTCTGTCTGTAATTATAACAATTGCAATAGAACAAGCACGGTATGGGTTGCAAAACACGGATTGCTAATGCTTTTTGGAAATGCTTTTTCGAATGGTACTGAAATAGAGAGTAAAAGAATCCCTAAAGAAAGTCTAAACGAGAGAATTGAAAATGTTGCAGAATTGCTTTGATTGAGCCTGTTCACATACAGTATTGGAAAGTGACGCCCTAGTGATCGCAAATGCTATTTTAACTTTGATGAAAGTATGGATATTTTACAGGCTCTTTGTTCAACCTCTGTATTGTGGAATATTTCTGGACCAGTCAATGCTGCTTAACAGAAGACGAATCGAAAAAGCGAAACATTCGGATGCAGTCGTAAGACCTTTATAAATAAAAACTACTATTTAAAAGCACATTATGTTGCAGTATTTTGCATGTCATTTCTTTTTGTATAGGTATCGTATTACTTTTGTGTTATCCGTTATTACAAAAAATAACGGTATTTTTTGCCTGAGGCAGTATACCGTATTCATCATGGTGATGTCAGTGTTTTATTTATTGACAACGCTGGCAAGTTGGTCTATTCCTTGGCCAGGTGCCATAAACAGTACACCATTGTATTAAGATATTGAAATAAAGTTTGTATTAGTTGGCGAGGCGTAATGGTTATGGTTTCAGTCACTCGCCTATGGTGCGTGGGTTTGAGCCATACTCTGATACAGTCCATGTCTCTTCCCATGACACCAGTGATAAAATATGTTCACAGAAACGTGTTTCAAAGTGGAGCCAATAGGTCTTTTTTAACTAAACCTTTTCTTGTCAGACCATATCAAACCTTGCGGGTAAAAGTTGTAAAGTCTTATTTTGATTGGATTATAATATAGTAGATGTTTCAAATGTTACATTGCCGGAGGAATAAAAATATCGGCCAAATACATTTTGATTGAAAAATTCTTGTAACATGGAATAGGCGAAGCAAATCTAGAAATGCTGTTGAAACGGTTTATACAATTTTATAATATATATTTATTGAATATAGGGCCGAATCGATTTATAACATTTGGAGTATTTTGTAATTGTGATCGAGTTTGCAGGCAACAATATTCATGTTACAACCGTAACCGGTAACAGAATCAGTCATGAAATGTAAATAATAATATAATTCTTGTATGATTTTCCTGTTTTTATGTATGAAAATGTAAAATTAACTGCAGAAAACCAAAGTGACAAAGATACCACTACCTGATGAAATGAAAGACGACGGAGACGACAATGAGAAATCTATTTTTAGAACATCGGAGACGCCAATGATATACATGTGTGCAACCATGTGGCACGAATCAGAAAACGAAATGACGCAACTGTTGAAATCTATTTATAGGTAAAAATATCTAGAAACCTTACTATGAATATTCGGGACACTTTGCCAATTGCCGTGATGCAATGATAATCAAGAAAAACGAAAATCTTATTCATTTACCTCGCTCTAAATTAAGATAAAGGACACCACCGAAGTTGAAGTGTCGGACTTGTACGAACAAATAAATAGTAACGAAAGCATTTATTCAACGGAGGGTCGATTGTAGAACGAAACATAATAAAATAAAGTTATACTCATTATACGTAGCAAACATAAGTTACTTAGATTGTGGCCATCTCACAGTCTTGCATATAAATCTAAGATTCACTGAAAATATGGAGAGGTCAAAATACAATGATTAGGCAACCACGAGGGATATATTTGCATTCTTCATGTACAGTTATAACGTCTAAAAGTGGTTACAATATTTACATGTCCGAAACCCCATTGTGGCTGACGGATTGTCTTTAAGGGTAATTGCAAGAGGCGCGTAAATTGGTTCGAATAACCGGAGTCTATCCACCGCTAAGCTCCAGCAGGTGAAATTGTTTTGACCCCTGGTGTTGCTTTAAGTTTGTAACACCCAAGGTAAGCCTAAATGACTTGCCTGTTTCGGCGTAATACGACCTAAATTGTGTTGGTGCTCCGTTAAACCAAACAAATTTGTCCGATAAACTCACTTACTTGTTCGTTAACTAATATACTTCTCTTATTTACGTTTCCGATGATTAAATTTGCAAAAACAACAATGGGAATTCTAATTGTATCTTTATTAATATTTCAGCGGTATAGTAATAATTGTGTTGTAGTCAGCATTTGTTAAGACTCTTTCCAGGCGCTTTAAGTAATTTAACAATTGTAAAGTTGTTGATATATTTTACAGAACGGATGAGGACCAATGTATAAGAAAGTATGCACAGTTTTTGGTTGGTAGGAGGGACCCGGATTATTACGAATTCGAAGGTAAATACATGTGTTTTCAATTCATTAGAAACGGTTTACAATATTTTGAAAAAAATATATATTCATAACATATTTTACCTGTATTGTTGCTACACTGAATTATATTCCTTGAAATGTCAAAACATACTTCAAACCACAAATGTAATATTAATTCGCGACTTTTAAAATGGGACATATTGTTTTTCTTCGAAACTGTGTCAAAAGTTCAGAAATATTCATCACTAGAAATGAACTTAGTGGTGGAATGAAGTTACGACGACTTTGTAAACTAAAGTGGTTAAAATGGAGCAGACGATATATATTCTTGCCCAAAGGTCATTACCAACAACCGTTATCTTGCAAAGTGTCGTCTTAAAACGATGTTTGCCTTTAGTCACTTATAATTACTCCTTTGTGTAACTGGATGGACTTTCTTTCACCAATTAAGGCATAAATGCATTTTCTTGAGGCTCAAATTGCTGTCTATATAATATCATAATGTGGTAAAAATCTTTTTAGTAGTGAAAGTATTTCGTTCAAATTCGATTAGAAATTTAATAGAACAAAAACTTTTATTGTTTCGAAGGAAATTGAAGACATCAGTACCTTTGCAAATCTGTTCTTAATTCAATTTCTTTTTTCAATCGAAAGAAATGCTGCCTTGAAAAAAACACGGCTCTAATGTCTTTCGTTAATAAGTTACTTGAAATTACGATCTGTGATTGCTTGGCTGTAATAAAATTTAGACAAGTCAACATTTTTGTTGTAGAAAATACTTAAAAATGTAAATGTTATCTGTGCTTGACAAATTGACAGTTGTATCTTAAATTGTCAACATCTTTTTAAGGCCCATAATGGAAGACAAAATACTACTTTGTTTACATTTTCCTACCTTTGCGCACATTACTGCACGTTCAGTCCTTCTTTCTTCAGTTGTTAAACATCTTATGCTCTACGTTCATTATCAAAGCATTAATGAACACATATCTGACATTTCTAAAGAATTAATTTCAATCTAAATTGAAAATTATAAGGCATAATGTGCCTTTAAAGTTAGATTCAGGTGCCGGCTTTTTGACTCTTTACTTAAATCTAATTTAATATACACACTTTAAATCTGCAGGATACTTATACACCTAATTAACATAAGTTATCAAGCTGAACGAATTATTGTTCTTTCTCTCCACATAATTGAAAATGGGGTATGGCAGTAACACAATAAAATAAATGTTGAAGCGGAGAAATTTGGTGTTAAATGTGTTCAAAAGTGTGTTACAAGTCTCATTTTATGAATATAAAAATAATTGTTCTTCTCCTGTAATAAATAACATATTTAAAAAATTGGTTTTCTTAACGATGAGCTCAAAACGACAAATTTGTAAACATTGCAGGCACGCTTTGATTTAGCTTGTCAATTGACGCAAGTGACATGTGAAAGTTTTCGTCAACGCCCGCCAGCACCATCTTAGGCAGTATTCAAAGTTTAACAATGCATTATTACAATATGGTTTTCTATGCAATTCTAATTAAAATATTCCCCTTTTTTACAGCTCATATATTTTTTGATGACGCTTTTGAAGGCCACAAAGAGGACGAGTATGAATTTAAAGTGAATGAATACGTTAGATTGTTGATGAAACAAATTCCGGTGTCCGCAAGGTAAATATTTGGTCAAATTTAAAATTCGCTTTGAAACTTGAAAGGCCGTTTATTAATCTAATAATTTGTAGATAGAGGTTCGGTCGGCTTCCTAATTGAAAACTGTACTCATATCCTCTTCAAAATTTGAATCCTGCAGCCGTTACAACTTTGTACTGGAGATAGTTACTGAAACATTAACAAAATTAACAACAAGAGATAAAGCTTGTTTTCATTGTTTTGTTTAAAGAAAAATAAAACTAATAAAACAATAACAACAAAAACAAAACAGTTCTCATTTATGCTTCGTTACTTGTGTTATTTTTTCAGATATTGTAACAAATATTATTATACTTCCTATTATCTCCTGCGATTATTTTAAATTAATGTCAGAAAGTAACTATTCATAATGTCACATGACAGCATCACGATTTCAAACACTGACATTACGAGCTCATACCGATTAATATTTCTCTATCTTGAACCCTGAAAAACCAAATATTCCAATTTTCTAGGGTTTATAAAATAAAATATAAATAACCTCAACTCCGGCGTTCTCGGGTGAACAATTCAATCTTTTACCCTCAGATGAATGTGGTATTTGTATAATGTATGATATGTTTGATACATCAGAAGACTTTGAAATCTTATTACATTGTTGTATATTCTAATTTGTTTATAAAAAAACGCCACAAATTTCTACAGAGTAATGATATTTGTTCATTTATTGTATTATTATTTTCACAGCTCAATTCACGGACTAAGTTTCAAGCAGAAACCGCCTATTTCAGTAGCCACGCCATATGGTGGTAGACTTGTATGGACATTGCCGGGTGGTAACAAACTTATTGCACATTTGAAAGACAAAACATTTATCCGGCACAGGAAGCGGTGGAGTCAGGTATAGTCAAAATATGTTTTGCCCGAAGTTACCATATTGAAATTGAAAGTGATTAGCCTTAACAGCAATACACAACAAGTCCAGCTAGCATTTCCTGTAGTCTAACAAGCTCTTTACAGCAAACACTTCCCTTTAATCTAACATGGCTCTACTCTGTTGGTAGCTCAATACATCGCATTTTTCTTTTGACACTGAAATCACTTAACAGATTCACTTTATTTAATTCACTAATATTTAAAAGAGAAAAGTGTATGTCTGTATAGATGACAAGCCGTATTACAAGATTCTTGCCCCAGAAAAGTTTCAAATGTAAAAAAACGCCGATACACGGCCAATATGACAATTGATGAATGCTTTCATATATGTTCATTAATTCTGGAGTTTCAAATCGGACGGCTAGGGAAAGCGCTGTTTTTGCCTATGATACAAAAGAGAAAGACCCTCGTACAAATCAGATAGCCTCGTGCTTTGCTTCTCTTTCAATCACTTGTTCTTCATGCTATATTTTATGTTTAAAATCCATATGTAAAATTAACTTTTAATCACTACAAAGAATGTATTATTTCAGGTTATGTACATGTACTATTTCTTGGGATACGAGCTTTTCAACAAAGGACTAAAAAGGAAACAGCTTCAGAAGAGGGCAGATAACACATATTTACTTGCGCTAGACGGAGATGTAGACTTCCATCCACAAGCTGTTTTACTATTGGTCGATCGTATGCGAAAGAACCCGGATGTGGGCGCGGCGTGCGGAAGAATTCATCCAATCGGAAACGGTATATTTTCAAATTTTATAGGAGCTACAGATCATCACATTTATATGTTGTTAAATTAAATCATTAATAATATTAATGTACAATAAATTATTTTATGTCATCATTTATGATATAATAATTATAGTGTTATATCTTAAACAACAGGTGCCATGGTTTGGTACCAAAAGTTTGAGTACGCAGTCAGCCATTGGCTTCAGAAAGCAGCCGAAGACAAATTTGGATGTGTGTTATGTAGCCCCGGATGTTTCAGTTTATTCAGAGGCTCCTCCCTGATGGATGATAATGTCATGAACAAATATACCACACCACCGTCTGAGCCCAGACATTATGTCCAGTACGATCAAGGTAAATCATGAACCAACCTTGTTGTTGTTGTTATATAACTTATCACTTCTTTATATGTTGAAAAACCAAATACAAGTTATAGGGATTTCAAGATCGTTCAAACCGTAAGCAATTATCAATCTTGTATTTATTATACGAATTTACGAAACAATGCAAGTTAAGATATTCCTGTAAAACTGTTTATAGTTTGAGCATTTTCTCAAGTGAGTTATAAGACATTAACAACTAACAATGGACAAATGCATATCAAGGTAAATTACTCATTATATTTAGTTAGCAAATGTTACGGCAGAATTAAAAACTTTTCTCTTTAACAGTTAATAATGCAGTTTTTAAACAAACGTAGTAATGTTACATGGACTTTCGACTCATGGCTATAGTGTTCTTATAACATAACGTTATTTGATGATATACATAGATCTATATTTAAATTATTATCTAGGTGAAGACAGATGGCTATGCACACTTCTGCTACAACAAGGTCACAGGGTGGAATATTGCGCCGCATCGGACGCTCTTACATATGCCCCAGAAGGATTCTATGAGTTCTTTAATCAAAGACGTCGCTGGACGCCATCTACCATGGCCAACATAATGGACCTTCTCACAGACTGGAAAAATGTTACAAAGAAGAACGCTGAAATAACACTCGCTTACATATTCTACCAGGTAAAAACAAAACGTTACAACAAAACGCTGCAATAGCACTCGCTTACATTTTTAACCAGTTCAGACAAAACGCTAAAAAATGTTGCTTATAGTTTCTACTAGGTGAAAAGACACCGAAATAACGCTCGCTTACATATTCTACTAGGGATAGGAACGCGGAAATAACAGTCGTTTACACGTTTCTATCCGGTTAAAGATATAAATAAGCACTCTCCGCATTAACAATTATGTCTATGTTCTTTCACATAAAAATGCCGAAAACAGCAATTTCGTAATATAAAATTCTATCATTAATAATATTGTGCTATGTTCTACAATTTTTTCCCTTACAGGGCCTGTTGATGGTCTCCTCTATTCTTACGCCAGGGACTATATTTTTGATGGTACTAGGTGCTATCAACCTTGCGTATCCGGAAATAGAACTATGGATGGCCCTTCTTGTCAACGCAATCCCGGTTGCAATTATGGTATTACTCTGCTTCAAGGCGAAAGGTGATACACAGGTAATTTGTAATTTACTGCCCATGATTGTTATTCAAGTAATCATTCTTTACAATAAGCTTTCATTAATTGAACGAACGAAATTTAATCGAACTGTTATCTTTATGACCTCATCAAACAGCGATTTAAGCTCTCCAGTAGCAAATAAATAACATAGCAATGGGACGTCAGCTATGATGTTAGAAATGACGTCAGTATTCCAAATGAGTCCCGTGCATAAGTGCTCTTATGCATGTAGTTGTAAATTTATGTAGGTATTGAGTATTCAGTAATATTTGTTACTTTTTGCAGTTGTTGTATGCGGCAATTCTGTCAACGGCGTACAGTTTAGTTATGATGATAGTAATTGTGGGGCTTCTAAAACAAGCGTCAGAGTTTGGATTTGAGTCCATAACAACGGTTTTTCTAATGTTCGTGGCAGGCGTGTTTGTCATATCAGCCTTTATACATCCACAGGTATGAAATACATTTAGAATATATTTTCTTTATTTTCATTATATCTGTACATTCATGTATATTATGGTGACTCATATTGTAAGTTTCTTCATACCACGTGACTTCACAAACATACTTCATGTGCAGTGAATTTATTACTAAAAATTTGTTGAAACGCTCAATTTTCGTATTTGTACTCATATATTGTATTCATATACTGTATAATTACCTACAGTGGATAAACGAATAAAAAAAGTATCCATGCAAGCCCATTAATTCTTTGTGAAACATTGAATTTACATATATCTGCTACTTCTGGTTATTGTACATTTCTTTGGAAACGTTATTTGACCTTTCTTGAACTAGAAGAAGACACTGTGAACACTTTCTTAGAAACTGGTTCCGAATAATTAAGACAATCTATTGTATATTTATTGTTCAAGAACGCTTACGTAACTGTATATAGAATACTCCATGTCAAAATCAAAGAATAAAAAAAAAATCTGTAAAATGCATTTATAGGAATTTATAGAATAGTTCCCGCTTCTCAACAATTAATAAAATTTGTGTACGGAAAATAACAGTTGCCGGTAATTTGATAATGTTGATGGATCAAATACCTTAAAAGATAGCTCAAATCAGCATGAAAATAGCTAAATTAGGCATTCGTTTCTGTAAATCATTCAATAGGCAAACAATCAAATAACAATTTACTGTAATGGCCTTTTAAAATTAAGATAAAATTGTAATGTATATGCAAATGAGTAAATAAATTCAAATTTTCTTCGAATATTTTGCATGCGTTATGAAGATAGATGTTGTGTTTAAGATAGTTAAATTGCCAATTAGGAAGTTTTGTTCATTTTGAAAATAAATATAGTCTAGCCGCTGTACCAAATGAGAAATATCCATCACTTTTCCATGCAATTTCTTCTAGCTATACTTGCCAATTCTACACTATTTATGCACCTTAAAGCCAATAAATGAAATTACCACAGGACTTCTTGCAGCCAAATGAACGTATTTCTATAATATATTGCCCATTAAAATGTTGAATTCCTGTTATTTACTCTTATACTAGCTGCATTATTTATGATCTAATTCTAATTTCGGATATATTTGCAGGAGTTCTGGTGTATTATTCACGGATTCCTGTATTTCCTAGCCATTCCGTCAATGTCTATGATACTAATGCTTTACGCTCTAGGAAATCTGCACGTGGTCTCCTGGGGAACACGTGAGAACAAAACAGCAGGTAAGTCGGCAAAGTTCAAGTTAGCAGAAAAATGAAAACTTGCCTCTTTATATAGGCTGGTTCTTTTGCTAATTATCCCCTATGCAATTGACTGAGCTAACTTAAATGTCTTCCATTTTTTATGACCGTTTTCACTGCATAGTAGTGATGCACTAAAATATGAATTTTTAAAAGGTAAATGATTATAGTTATGAGCAAACTGACCTTTTATTATATTATATTATATTGATTAAGAGAGTAAAAGGTTTACGAGACATGTCACAATCAGTGATCAAAGACCATGAAATCGTTAATTGGCGTCCAATATTGCCCAAACTTGTTCCCGACTTTTGTTTTACAGGAATGTTTTTATTTGTTATCTTTTTTATTTAAATAACTAGGTGTAAAGCATAACTTTGCGTGAAACCGTATATCAATTTAAATTAGATTGGAAAACAAGTTCTTGCATCTTTTGATTAAGTTTCCTGGAATTAACTTTACTGTAGGCATATGAAGAAACATTGTTTTTACACGAGTATGATTCGAGCTTAAGCTACCTAGGTTTAGAACCTCAAGGTCATTTTCCGTTTTGGGAGTGTTGACTTACAAATAAGGATTCTGCATTGCTAATTACCACCCGAACTAATGTAGGGACTGTTGTGCGAGACTATTCGCAGCTTTATTAAATTTTGTACTATTTTTGTAGTGCCATGATTATGAAACTTAAAAAAATATTATTGTGTTTATATACATATTTTAGAATAGCTATTTCGAAATCAGATTGTGTCTATTTTTTCTTGTTAGTTGGTGAATATCCAATTTTGAACCATTAAATGCGGAAGAAAAAAAAACATCTTAGGATAATATGAAAAACGTTAATTAAAACGTGTATGAAAAAAAGAAAAAACAACTTAAAGTATCTTGTCAACTAAGAATTTTTTTTATTTACAGCCGAACAAGTTGAACAGAAGAAAAAAGAAGAGGGGAGGCTATCTGGAGTATTTGCGGCGTTTGCTGGTTGCTGCCCCTGGGGAGAGATATTCAAGCAGAGAGAAGACGATAAATTACGTGTAATTATTGACAGGCTAGACGGTGTTGAAGCTGGTATCCGAGAATTGAGTACCATCGGGAGCAATAGATCAAACATGGGATTTAATGATTCTATAAGCGTGCGAGCTGGTTCCCCATATATTGTTGGTGACAATGAAACGAAAATACCATTTAGTGAACAGACAGAGTTGTTTTCTGGACAGGGTGACAGAGGTATATTTTTTCTCCTCAATTAATAATCTTTAGTATGTCTTTACTAAAATATATGTAATATTCTTTAGCTAGGCCACATACACATTTGAAAAAAAGAAGAAGCAGTTATTGTAAACGATATGTGAGTTATTAATGAATTGTCTTGTTTATGTTTTCAGCAAATCCAATGTTCATGGAGGAGAAGCAAGAGCCACGTGACCGATTACAAGACCCTTATTGGATGAAGGAAGACGAAGAAATTCGTTATTTAAGAACCGACAGAATAAGTGCAGACGAGACACAGTTCTGGGAGGAATTAATTGATGAGTACCTTAGACCAATTGATGCAAACAAGACTAAAGAAAAAGAGATTCAAGCTCAATTGATTGAATTGAGGAACAAAGTGTGCTTGATTTTTATACTTATCAACTCGTTATTTATCATCGTGGTATTCAGCCTTCAACAAGTCGTTGCAGAGAGTAAGTAAAATATGATTAAAACATTGGTCACAATTGCAAAGACTATCCTAAATTTTTGTAGAACTCGCTTTTTTATATTCAAGCAGCGCATTTACAGATTTCTTGCTTATTTATACAGAAAGAAGAATTAATCTTAAACACAATTTGAAAAAATATTCTTTAGTAATAGTAACTTTTAAATGGTTTGATTGCTTATTGAAATTATATTGTTTTGTACAACATTTTCTTACAACAAACAACACCCCAAACCCGCCACAAAAAAAACAAAACAAAAACAACACCAACAACAACAACAAAAAAAAAAAAAAAAAAAAAAAAAAAAAAACAAAAAAAAAAAAAAAAAAAAAAAAAAAAAAAAAAAACTTAATAGAACTCACCCTTATTGTATTGAAAATTATATTGACGTTATTTTATAAAATTATAGAATAATTATACAATTCATAACAATGATTACCTTCATTTTCCAGGTGACAGCTTGTCATTTAGATTACCTTGGGTTAAAGGTGAAACCGTAGAAAAAGGTCAAAAGATTGAACCAATCAGCGTAGCGTTTACATTAGTGTTCGGGGTCCTGCTGTTCGTCCAATTCATTTGCATGTTAATGCATAGACTTGCGACGCTTCTTCACATCTGCGCCGCTACGGAAATATTCAAAAAGAAACGATCAGTAAGAAACTTTGCTTATTTCTAAATTTTTATACTTGTCATTTTTCCAGGTGGACGTTCGTGTCTAAAATAATGCAGGGAAAGCACATGAGGTCTTCCTCCACCAGTAATGCTGGAAAGTCGTCATATGACCTACACTGTGTCAATGCAACGTAAACCCCAATCAATCAAACAAACATTTCATGTTGCCGAAGCGTCTTTATCATAGAGCTCTTTAATAAAAGAGTATTTGATGATTTACTTGTGACATTTTTCATGCCTTTCTTTTGCTAAATTATTATCTTTTGAAAGACGAAAAATGTTCTAGGAGAACATGTACGATCGTTCAGAAAAAAAACTATCTCAACAACTCGAGTCGACTTTCAGTACATGTATATAGATCATAAATTGTTAAAGACCAGCATTTTCTTTTTTGATCTACCGGAAGATTTTTTGCAACAGAAAACACATGTACAGAGTAAAATTTGACTATAAGGTAATCACTGAGAAAATTAACTGATAATTTGATAGACTTACATTATGAAAAACAAACATTTGTTTCCAGTTTAAAATGCCAGGGCAAGATGTAGAGCAAGCTGAAGAAGCGAATGAAACTGCGCAAGCTATGTCTTATGACCAGGTAACTTAAACAAGCCTTTATAATAAAGCTATTTTTTAAAGATCCCTATGTCGGTTAAGTCTTGATAAACTCCAATTCTTGTTTTCCCTAAAGCTTTTAATATTGGTATCTAGTTACCTTCTTCAAGACGTTACGCAGTCGCCATTATACAGATTTGTCTGAGCTAGCGTGTTTGTGCAGCTAAAGTGATTTTGTATTTGATGTTTAGTTAAGGTACGGTTTCTTTCTCATTTTTGCCTTTATCACAAGTATCATATTATATTCTGGGCAATTTTCAAAAATAGCTCTTAATTTAAATTTACAAAATTACATACGAAAATAAAATACGTTTGCATTTTATACAGAAAGTACAAAACTATTCATTTCTAAGTTTCAATGTGTCTTAAATTAGCATTGCATTAGAGTGTAAATCTCTGATACAATTTTATGCCCAAAAGCCATTCTAAAATCATTGTAAAATGATTTTCTACATAGGGAACAGAATAGTCAATTTCAAATGAAAAATTTGCTTTAAAACAGCATACTAGTCTAAGAAAAAAAAATCAAAAAAAATCTATCAACAGTCCAGATATAGTCTGATGAAAGTGTAGATTTTTTTAAAGCAGACATTCCATTAAGGGAGATATTTTGAAAATGGAACAATTTGATTGAATTCATAAGACGATAATCAACCAATAAGATGCTGAAAGCATAGAGAATGTTTGTTCCGTTTTAAGCAATCAGATGCTTATGTCGGAGAGCATGACGTTTCGGAGTTCTACCATTGGTCAAATTCAAATAGTTAACTAATCCCAATAATGATCAAATCAGATGTCCAAACGTGTCATTTGATTTAATTCATACCTGCTTTGTTTACGATTTATTTTTCAATTAATGCCATCAGAGGACGTCTTCATCTCAGGTAATAAGTTCACAAAATGAAAACATTTATTTTTATATGACTCTATCATTGTTTTTGAATCATCATTTAGTCAAATATATAAAAATCTATGTTGATGACAATTTTCTTTATAACTTTATAAAGAATTAACCTTCTTGAAAAATGAATAAATGCATGCCAGTCCACTAAAGACAGATTACTTTGTATTTTCATATATTTTATAGTGTGGATAGAAAAAAAGTACAACCTGTTATCTTGTTATTTTTTTTTGACTTAAAGCTATGTGTTAAACTTCTTATTTTGCCTACCGATCCGAGGTGTGACGTACATGTTATTAAGTCACTTAAATACATGTACTTGTATTCTACATTGCTTTTATAATAATTTGCATTTACCGCTGTCGTCTTTAAATAGGCTAAATCAACCCGAGTCTGCGACATATTTATTTGTGCTGTTTTATGACGTTTTAGAAGGGCCCAATGTTATCTGTTTTGGTTTTATTCTGAAAGGTGTACGAGTTTGTTCGAGATCTACAGAAAGACCAAGATGCTGATACAGCCTCTTTGACCTCCGAGTCCAGTTTTGGAGGTCAAAGTGACATCGAGGAGGAGGATGAGGACACAAGTAAATTTATATTTTTATATTTGACCTAAATCGTAATCTTTCCACCTAATACTGGTGCAAAAAATTATTAATTGAGTTATATACGCTAGTCCTTAACGTGCTGAATGTATGTTTTGTAGTCCATTTAATTTCAAGGGGGGTTTAAATTTCAAATCCAGAAGAACTGTTCGGTTCCAGTAGAAAAACAAATTCGAAAACTGTATCAGTAAACATGTTAATTTTCATGTTCACAAAAGCAAAATGAACAATAGAGAAACTTGGAAAATGATATAGTTTTGGTAAACAAAAACTAATATGCTAAACTGAGAAAGTATACTTTTGAGTTGAAGTACTGAAAGCATATTGCATTACTTTGATAAGAATTTAATGCTTCTGTTGAAAGTAATACTTATTTATTCATTCTCATTGTCAAATTTTAACTTTGCCGGTCTTCATATTTCGTCTTAAATATCCAACATAGTGCAATGCTTAAAAGTGCTGTTTCTTGTTTTGTTTAAGAACAAAGTTCTGTGTTAAGCCGCCGAATCCTCTGATTTAATCAAAAATATATGAATTAGGAATGTGTTTACTCATTCAACATTTTGGGACCAAAACTGTAAGAATCACGTTTTTTTTTGGCTTATTGTTTACAGTTGTAAGGAAGCGGGAAGCACGAGACAGGTGGAAACGAATGGCGAAGAAAAGGCGTACTGTTCATGAAAACACACTTGGCGAAAATTTCAAGACAAATCTTGGAAGAATTCAATCTTACTTCAAGGAAGAAGAAACTTCTGAATCAGCTCTAACTGAGGAGTCGGAGGTACGAACAATTTATTTGCTTTCTAATTATATTCTTTATTCTGAACGTTATGTATTTTGTTACTAAAGTAACAGCCAATTAGGGATTCATAACTTTTGACACGTTTCCTAAATCGTTGTGTCTATCAAAGTTTTAAAATGATTATAGAGTACAAACACCCATTGTTTATTTTTATTCGTCTAACTTACTGACTGACAACAGGTATAATAAAAAGGTTGGTTTTCAATAAAAGTTTCATACAGCCTAAAACGGTGCCAGAGGGTCTGAGATGTTGTCAAACAGCAATTTAGCTTTTTTTTATTACAATAATTGTTTTCATTTTTGTAAATGCAGGATTTCATTTTTTTTCAAGAATTATATAATATATGTTTTGACAAATAGAATACATTGATTTGATAAAGATTTTTAGTTTTCCTGAAGTTTTAGTTTTACTAAAATTCAAGTGTAATAATGATATACTGTAGACGAACAGTCTGCATTCTTTATGTTAGACAGTAACATACATTTCATAAGTAGTTCTTGTAGTAATGCAAGAAATTTCAAATACATTTTGAAATGTCAATTCGTTGCATATGTTATATGATAAACATATATTTTGTCACTTATATTATTATATAATTAAGTGTACTTAATCTCTGACCTATTTGCAAGAAAAGCATTGAATGATCCATTTTTGCTTTGAGGACAACGACGAAAGCGAAGCAATTATTTTATTCTTGCAGAGAAGATTGTGAAAATGAGTGTTTTTCAGTTTTTTTACAGCTAAAGTTCTCTCTTTTAGCTTTGCTTTGGGAAATGTCTCTTTCTTTTTCCTACATTGACCTTGACACAATATGCATCTACATCTTTTTGACCTTTGTTTTTTGTGTTAAACAGAAACTTATTTTAAATATAAAAATGATCTTAACTTTTTTCAATGCTATCACAGGTTTTTTGCATAATATCTTAGATAAATCACTAGCTATTTTCGTGTTCAATATTACTGCATCATCATAAAAAACGTCCGTATTAAATTGATTTAATTCGTACAACATTTAACTGAATACATACGATTTAGTTTTTTTATTTGATGTCAAAATTTACTGCTTATACTGATATTTTTATTGGAAGCATAATCCTGTTGAAGTTCTTTTTGAAAAATAAATCTTCAAATGATGCAAAATTTCTGAATTTATGAGGGAAGTTTTCATTAAAATTTTAAAACGTGGGCAGGAAATTCAGATATTTTCATTGCACTCTTACGAAACACTGAAACATTTATCTTTTTTTATCTTTTATTTCGTGGAATAGAGTTGACCACTTTCATGTTTGTTTCTTTTTTTGCCATTTAATACTTCTACATGAAATACACATTCGCTTTGCCACATAACGACACATAAACAAACTAACATACAAAACAAACACACATGTTTGTATTGGGCTATAAGTTTCCTGGCAAGATCTTACAAAACCAACATAAACTATTTGGTATTTCATTTTCTTTCAGGACATAAATAGTGAAAAAGAAATTGAAGCATTGAAAAAGAAAATCCATTTTAACAGAATGCGTAATAAGTCCCTGCATACGTTGGCAATGCTGAAGAAAGACCCTGTAATGAAAGACAGGCTATCCAGGAAGCAAATTCTAAAAAAAGAAGTGGCTAAAGAAAGATTTAAAGGACTAGTATCAAAAGCTTTAATTAACACGAATCAAGGAAAACGAAAGATTTCAGATATTACTGAACATCTAATTATTAAGAGGAAAGAGGAGGCTGCCCTCCAGGCATTGGAAAATATTGGTGAATCGTCACCTATTGTCGAGCGACATGAAATTCAGGTCCACCGGGAAGACAATGATAATCCCGATTATGCAAATATAGCTGAAGTAAATAACCAATCCGACATAGGTCAACTGAGAGCACAAAAGGCTGCTGATTCAAGTAAAAATGAAACTGACACTGCAGCAGATATAAAACTTGGTATTCCTAAGGTAGAAACTGATGAATGGCCCGATGATGACCATTATACTGCAGTCCAAGATTCAATAGACGTTCTTTTCTGACGATTGTTAGCACAGATTTTCAAAAGACATAAATATCATGACAGGATGTATAACTTTGTTTAGGAGAAACAAAATACCAAGATCTATCAAAATGGAGTAAAACCAGCCTAATGAACTGTAACATGTGCTTCTATAATATTTATTTTTTGACTTTATCTTTTATTTTTAAGTATTGATTGTCAATAATCGGGAATAAAATACTTCTTGTGATTTCATTTTGATTTTTTTGTTTTGAAGTTAGTAAAAAATATTTTTGCCATATTGCTAGTACTAGTCGACGTGTTTATGTCGTGTTTATTTTTAAAATTGGTTTTAATGCTAACTTTCAGGATTGTGATTTCTAAGAGTGACTGCTTTTCATTTCGTTCGAGTGGTCTTCTTTTGTAGACTTACTTTACTAATTAAATTCATAGCAGCGAATTTCAAAAGACAGACACCAAATGTCTGACGCTGCAAATATTTTAATCAGTAGATTTATATATTTCTAGCCTTTCGAGAGAACAGATTACAATACCCTAATAATTAGGATGAATACCGCCTGAGTCGGTTCTAGCGTTTCTAATGATACTATTGAGAAATGTATTATTGCAAACAATAATTAAACAATTACAACTTTTATTGCTTGACAAAAGAAATGAACACTATATATGAAATTTTGTTTGGAAAGGCTCAGTTCGCTCAATTTCTTATATGAAGCTGAGAAAAATAATATATATGTTTTTGACTGCCTAAAACAATTTGAAGTTGAAAGCAAAATAATATTGTAATGTCTGTAATTTTTTAAACCACATTATTTCTTTGCAAGTTTCTAGTTTATGTTTTTATTGTAAGTGACATATATATTTCTTATCTAAACTAATTCTTGATGGTTTAAAAATGCTTCAAGCTAAAGTTACGTAATTGTTCACAGCTTTCCAAATTATTGTAGTGCTTAGGTATCTTTGGTGCTTTGGTAAAGAAAAATGTTTAAGTTAAAACGTCTTTGGTGCTTTGATAAAGAAAATTTTTCAGCTGAAGGTCACTTATTATTGTGAATTTTACGAAACTTTAATCTGTAGCAGCCATTCATGTCTTACATAGAGGATATTGAATGAGTGTAGTTTCATACTAAATTTATTGAACGAGTTGAATAAAATCATATTATGCGTGCCTGGCGAGCATAATATTGTTTTATTCAACGAGTTCAATAAATTTAGTATTGAATTTACACGAATATAATATTCTTTTTATCACATTTATAAAATAAGAACAGTAAACTGTTAAAATGAGTAATTTTTTAAACGACGCGTCTATTGCGTAACGCTAACATTAGCGCGCTTTAACGCTATGTTTATATATAGCGCAAATGACGTCACGTCAAAGTGTTATTACACTAGTGTAATATCGTTTTTATTAAATGGTTTTATTACACTCCTGCGCCGCGGTTTATGTGATAATAAATGTTTTATACTAACAAATTTCATAACTTGTTATGCGACACATGGTTTGAGTAGCCAGCAGGAATGATTAGGCAAATATCATATCGTTATAAATGAATAACACCTGCGCTATTTGTGGTATTTGTGTCAATTTTTAAAATTACTGAGCAAGGAACAAATCTAACAGAGAATAATGATAGTAATATTATTTCGATAACATAAAAAAAACTACCAAAAGCATACAATGCTGTTAATTGTTATATCGTTTTTAAAGAATGTACTACGTGGGACGAAGCAAAAACAAAACAATCTTTCAATAATCGGAAATATAAGAAATTGTAATTATACAAACCGATATAATTTTATCTTGCCATTATTTATTAATCTTTTGTACTGACATGTAAGATCAATGTATTGTTGTTAATGATAAGTTCTTTATACTTATATCCAATTTTTATTTCTGTATGAATATTATTGTTTGCATGTGTTGAATTTAAAGCATGCATGTATCAAAGTTCAAAATGGTAGACTATTTATTACTTAAGTAAAAATAATACTATTAATTGCCAAAAAAAAGTGATAACTTTTATTTATTTATCATATAATGCTTGATTAGTTTTTAAAAATATATTTACATAACTAGAGATTATAGTTTATGTAAGGTGAATTTTTGGGATTGATATAAATGCTTGACCATGCATGTGTTGTTATGTTTAAAAAATTGAAGCATTTTTTTATACATACAATAATGAATTTTGAATAAATATATATTTTCTCTATTTGTTATTTCATGATCATTGAATCAATGTTTACGACTCACATTGTTCTAAAGTTCGGTGGTCTTAAACAAAAGTTTAAGCATTCACATTTCTTGCATGTAAATTTTTATAAATTTATATACAGATTTTCAAGACACTTCAGTTTTTAAATAACTTAACATATATTACCTAATTGCCTCTCAGCAGATATAATTACATTGAATTATTTGTTAATTGGGATTTTTTTGCCGATTTTGACAAATTCTGATCATATCTTGGCGGTCAAATGGCCTCGCCAACTAGCAGAAATAAGCTATTTCACCGCATGTTACTTGCCCCACATGAAACTGAATCAGCGGTGAGAGGCAATTGACCATTACACTTAATGTCAGACGTAAATTGTGAAGAAAAAATTTTGCTTCGCCCGCGTATCGAACCAGCTGTGTTTCCAGCGGATACTTGCGTTGTTTAAATGGGCTAAGGGCTACTCATTATGCAGCTGTATATCATTGTTATACGAGGTTCGGAGCTGTAAAATAATGACGATAAGCAAACATTTACTTTTCAATAACATAACCCTCTACGTATTAATTGTTCCTGTATATCATTATTCAATTTTACTTCTTGAATGACAGAACTGTATTTTCTACAATTATTATAATGGTTTACATCAATTTACTAAAAAGACGCAGGCAAGGTCTGGGGCAGTATTTTATGGAAAACAGTTTACAATCAATACATTATGAAATTTCTGGGACATTTTTAAGTAATAAGTAATAATAAAAATAATGCTAAAGCCACACTTCTATGTTTAAATCATGTAATGCCCAATACAAGTTTTACGTCGACTTGAGACCGAGACCGTTATTCCGTCTCGTACATTTCATCAGCGAATAAAACGCAAACAGCTCAATGGATCAATTTTAAAGGAAACATCGTATTTTTGTTTATTATATATGAGCGGCAGGTGAGATCTATTATAAACTTGATTTTCTTTTCAAAAGATTTATTGAATTGTGAAGCAATGCATTATCAGCTTCAAAGAAAGTTATAATTTCTTTCTTATATCTTAAAGTTTCTGTCCATCCATTATTTCTTAATACACAATTTGTTTTTGCTTAATATCTAAAAACTTTCATTAACTTAGCTTGTCTTTCAAAAATATTGAACAAACATTAATTTGTAGGCAAAATATTTACTTTAATAGATAAAAATATGCGCGTTGTTTAAACATTATCATATGATTATTATGGACAGGCACTTTAAAATCTCGCAAACTTTCGATTAAGTCTTCTCTTTGTTTCGCCACATATCTCTTTCTTTGCTACATATCTAAATACAAAAAGACTTTAAATATAACAATTGTTTTGTAATCCACTCTGTCACTTGTTGCAAGGTCACGTATTGCTTATTTTGCAGGGTCAAGGATTTTCTTCAGCTACAAAAGGTTATCTACAGTAAAAGCTCATTCATTCTGTTTTCTTTGGACTTAACTAAAGCTCTGTCGATTCGTAAAAAAATCATATTATTGTTTATCATTACTTTTCGATCAGCTTTTAACTTCTGAATTAAGAAAAATAGTTAACCACTTTTCGGGTTTCAAAAGGGATATTCAAATTTTGAATGGAGTAATAAATGGATAGTACTAGAATTTGTTTACACGTTATAAGTATATAATGCCAATAAATTTATAATACGTATTTTTTTAAATGACTTACGTTGACTTAATATTCCAACATTTCTGGAGCACAGGAGAAATGTGTCGCATTTCTTTTCTCATTTTCAAGCCTTTATGTGTAACCTTTTCTTACGTGGCACCAACTTTATTGGTGAAAGAAGACCTAATATGCACCTCCGCGCATTATTTCAGGCACAGACGGCCAACGATGTTTCGTAAGCGAGCATTTTCAACCCAGGTCTAGCCTGTAGACATTACTTTATAAAATATATACGAGTAGACATGTAAATTGATAAATGATAATATGTTTTGTTCAAAAAGCAAGTCTTTTGCAAGTCTGCAATTTTCCTGTAATTTTGTTGTGATTAATATTTCCGAGGGATCACTTTTTTCAGATCTTTTTACTTTCATTTTTACACCTTCAGCGTCACCTATTACATTTGAGTGTGGCATTCCATTCACTCTCTCATTAAGTTGCCATTGAAAAAAATGCGGTTTTTGAGTTTGTTGATTTTCCTTTCACAGGAGCAAGATCTTAAGAGTATAAAAAAGAAAGCACACATGAAAAGAATGAGGAACAAATCACTTCACGTATTAGCTATGATGAAAAGGGATAAGACCATGAAAGAGAACATATCAAAAAAGCAAATTATTGCAGAAAAGGAGAATGAGGTCATTAGAGGACGATGGGGAAGAGCATTTAAATTAACTCAACTAAACTTAGCAAATGACACACCTGGTAAGTTTCAAGCAATTGTAAGCATCGAACGGAATAAAGAAAAAGAAGCAAATCTTCATCGTGAGATTACACATCTCGGTGCGTCGTCAAGACAGGCTAGTAAGAAGATCCACGCTCATGAAAACGAAGCTGATACCACAACTGTTCTAGAGTTACATAAAGAAGGATACGTTAATGTGAGTTATCCTTTAGCACATCTTAAAAGATTTCCCGACAATGAACCGGAAGTAGAAGAAGAGCAGATTCATCTTACAGTGCCTAAGGTAGAGAATGATGAATGGCCGGAAGAAGATCATTATGCTAATGTAAAAGAAGGCATTGATAAGTTGTTTCAACCGATAGAGGAAATGTAATTCAATAAATTAGGATTGAACATTCTGAAGTTACTTTTAAAACTTTTATTCTATATTAAAAAACAAATTTAAGAAAGAACTTTGTGTGTATAGTATTTGAATATAAATGATTGTTAGTGTTTCTTTTATTGTATTATATTTAAGATAACTTACATTATATCTCATTTGCTATCATTGTACATGTCGATTTATTGAACTAATTCACTCCCTGAATATGCTTTACATCATTTTCATATATACTGTATATTTAACCAGATCATTTAATTTTATAGTTGCTAAACACATTTTTAACATCAAATTCAGTTAAAGGCAAATTATGCCTCAGGAAATCCGTATTTATAAGATTCTTTAGAAATGTCAAACATGTGTTTAATAATGTTTGAACAATGGATTTAGAGCCTTTTAGATGTTGGAAAGCTGAGGAAAGCTGCTGTGAATGTGCAGTTATGTGTCGTAAAGTGTAAACAAAATAGTATTTTGACTTCCATATAAAATTATAATTCGCTATAAGTTTACCAATTGCCGACAAAGCAGAAGGATCAAAGATAGACTAAGTTCAATGAAATCGCAAACTAGTAATTAGTAATTTTTGGACAAAAGATATAAAAAAAAAGTTTTTGAGAAATGAAAATGATAAAGGTGCTGTTGTGCTCTTGATAAGTGTTCAATAGTAGACCCGATATAGCATATCTATATATGGCAGAATATAATGAGTCCTAGAACAAAATATAATTATTTATCATGTAAAAGTTTATACTAAATCACTTTAGAAGTCTAATGACACTTTGTTTTCAAAAATATTTCATAAGAATATCGAAATGATACATTTCGATCGTGTTTTTTTACCAGTATTTGGAATACTTATGGAATATGCGTTCAATGCAGACCCACCCACTTTAATGTATGCATGTGTTTGTATGTCATCAACAGCAGCAGCAGCAACAAAAACAACAACAACAACAACAACAACAAAGCCGAACAATATTTCTTAAAAATGTAAATTTGACATTTTGAAATATACAATTCCAAGATTTTCCTTCTTAATAGACTAACTGTAACAATTACAATGTATTGTTTTTAAGTATCGTATGTATATAAATCATAGTAAATTGAAATGTGTTTTAAATTTAAAGACCCATTATGCCCCAGAAATGCTTCTTATTAATTAATTTTTTTCCATATTTTTCGTATGCTGTTTTAGTTTTAAAAAGTTACTCATTGGCTAAAAACCTAAATCCATATTTTGCTTTTTGACAATTAGTTGAGTTATATTGACTGAGTATTTTATGTGGAAGTTTAAATACTACTTTGTTAACATTTTGCTACTTTTAGCGCTACTTTCTTCAGGTGCTACGAATATAGTATTGTCTTACAGAATTATTTGAAAATTATAAAACTCATGATTGCCTTTTCTGAAGAAGGAAACGGAATTCCTATCTGAGGCATAATGTGCCTTTAAAATTACCATTAAATTGATGGAATCCGATATGCCTTTGTCACCAGTTTAGAGCTAGGCCAGCATATTCGTCGTTGCAGACTTGCCAGGCTCCATACAGTTGGAAGCTTACTTTTGTTTCTATTTTGCTGCGAAATCCCTGAATTTCCAAATGGGTTGTCCATGGCAAATTCATTACTTTAGTTCAGTAGGTAACGGGTTAACGTGACATTATACTCATCCAAGTGTAAATGGTGAGTGCACAGGTAAAAGACTCGAAATAAGTTTTCATTTTTTTTTCAATTATTTTGTTCAATCTTATATTTAATTTACAATGCAAAATAATTGACAATCCACGTGACCAACAGACAGTTCTATTAATGTCGTTCAGAAAATATCGGCAGCGTTTAATTTTTTTAAGAAGTAGGGGCATTTTTGTTATTATCTAAATAGTTTGTTATGTTTCAATGTAAATTATTGGTTAATTACTTTTAAAACAGTCAATCTCTTGGAAAATATAACTTTTAAAGCAAAAAGATAAAATATAATGTCACTTTAAACTACGGTTACCATATTGTAAAAAATGTATATTGTTTCACCTGTATATAGTGTGTTTAATTACAACAATGTTTTATCAAATGTTTTTTTTAATGAAATATTTTTTTTTATTTGTTAAGTTTTTGGTCGTTTTCATGCATTTTATTTTTTTTCTATCACCGAATTGTTTAATTTTATTGCTGCTTAAAAATGCACAAAGAAAAAAAGTCTTTTGATTTGAAATCATTAATTAATAATGATGAATCATATCTTGCATTTGAGTTTTTTTTTAAACAAAATTGCTGTGTACCATTGAATAGTTGTTATATATTCTACACTTAGATGTGTTTGATTGTTTTGAAATACTTTATATTCAACATCAATTTATACCTAATACACCATTTATAACAGTGAATTAGTTTGTTTTAATGTATTGCTTTATTTGTCATATTGTGTTTAATTTGAAATTGTTTGAGTCATTGAAGCATAATTTAGGGTCATACTGAAAAATAATTTATTGGACAATGTAACTACGACTTCTATCTGTAGTGACTGAAATTGTACTAAACGCTATGTGCAATATGACTGAACTTGTAATACCATCCATGTGGCTGAAATTTCATTCCGACCATGTGTAATATGGCTAAAATTGTACTACCGGCCTTGTGTAAAATGGCTAAGATTTTGATACCCGCCATGTATAATATGACTGATATTGTAATACCGCTATAGGTGATATGGCTGAAATTGTACTACCGCCATGTGAAATATGACTGAAATTGTAATACCGCCATGTGTAATATGGCTGAAATTGTACTACCGGCCTTGTGTAATATGGCTAAGATTTTGATACCCGCCATGTATAATATGACTGAAATTGTTTTATGGCTTATATTTTAATAATTGCCATGTGTAATATGGCTGAAATCGTAAAACACGCCATGTGTAATATAACTAAAATTGTTATACCCCTCATGTGTAATATGACTGAAATTGTACTACCGGCCATGTGTGAAATGACTGAAATTGTAGCAGCGACCATGTATGATATCAATATGGCTGAAAATGTATCTACGATAATAATTGATAAAACTGACAATGTAAATCTAACCATATGTGATATGGCTGAAATTATATGACGTCCATAAGTGATATCGATATGGCTAAAATTGTAACTATGACAATGCTTGGTAAGAGACCCAGCATGTGGTAGGCCGGCACAATAGCAAGGGTTCTGTGTGATATAGCTAAAAAGTCATTTCAATACCAAAGAACGTTCGCTTTTTAGTCAAGATATCATCCTTACTAAGAGTGTAATCAGACTCGTATTTGTCTGTCCAGGACTTGTAAATTTCAATATAAGCAACAATAGTCTAACGAGTGAACAATATCATGAACAGAATTTTTGTTCATATAACGAGATCTTTTAATATTAAAGCATAAATGCCTCCCGATCCATGCATATGTTTATGAATATATAAATAATATGCATAAATAGTCAGTTCTTACTGCGTTAGTAGCACGGTAAAAGTATGGTGATAATAACTGCAATATCATTCATCAATGAACATTGAACATAGAACATTTAAATTATTTTTTGAATTGTTACCTTTAAATTTTAGAACATTTTTATCAAGTTTGGTTTCTTGGAGGCAGCTTTAAAAAAAAGTCACACCATCACACTTATAGCCATATGGCGATTTTCAAACTTCACTGCTGCATTTTTATATTTGATATTTGACGGCAATGCAATCCTCTAAATCTTAATTAAATAGAAACTGAATATTTTGGGTTTGACAAATGACAGATATTCTCGTCTTGTTTACGGTAGATATAATTACGAGTATGTTTATTTTGTTTCAAAACGTATGATATTCAACACAATTGACTTCTTAGAAACACAAATTTTAATTTAATACACAATTGTTGACCTCTCCTTTCCGGCCAAGAAGGTCCCTAAATAATTTATTCCTCGGTAGTTGGCTTGCTCAGTGTCTGGGCAAGATGGAAATTCTGTCGTGAGTTTGGTCGGATATTTATAGAAAGTGATGCCTGTTTCGAAAGTAAAGAAACTTACAAAACTTAATCCTATCTGATTTTAAATGATAAAAATGATTAAAATTTGAATATTGCAAACTTAATTACATAATTAATTAACTTAATACATCTTCTGTAAGAAATTAACATGGTCATATCTGTCAAAACGGTATCGAATCAATCTACTTGAAATAATAAACTGAAATCTTTTGTACTCAGTTTCATTTCCAAACATTTGTAAGAAACCTCAGCCTGCCTAGTTAAAAATGATTAGATAACTTCCCGTTAACGAGCGGAACTCCAGAAAGGTGAAACCCATTATATACCATTATAACCAGGAAGTTGTACACAATTCTTTATACTTTTTCTTCCTCAATTTTCAGACATATCTTATGTAAGCCTTACATGGATCATCTTCTTTCAAGGCTATCCATTCAACAACAATGCCCTCACATATGAGAAATGTCCTCATTATGGCAGATGTCAGCATAAGCAAAAAGAAGAAAGTCTTTAGAACGAAAAGAAGATTAAAATAGTTGATGATAAGAACAATCGTTTAATCAAATTCATGCATAACTAGCAAGAAATTTCAAATATCTTCATAACATTTGCCTACAATTTATGCTTGATTTGGTTTTTAGGTGCACCAGCACACAATTAAGGTCATATGATCAAAAACTAAAGTTGATTTGTGCTAATCTCGGGTGTTACAAACTTAAAGCAACACCAGGGGTCAAAACCACCTCACCTGCCGGAGCTAAGAAATGCATAGACTCCAAAACTTTGTGAAAATTTGTTAAAATAGTCAGAAAACGCGCCTCACTTATTTATTTATGGCATTTTTGCTTTTGGAAATTACCTAAAAAAGTAAAATCATCTCTTTCGAGTAGGGTGGGAGGTTGTGGCAAGATGGCTCAAAAATAGTACTTCATGTTTTTTTTTCCGAAAATTTGGTTCAGTTATGATTTTCTTTAATAATGCCAAGTTTAAGAAAATTCTGTTTTACTAGTTAAAATATTTTGTTCTTCGCGTACATATGTAGATCCAATAGGAAACATCTTTAATTAATTTATATCATGAATCATCAAATCAAAGTGCAAAACTTACGTAAAATTGGTGGGACAGATATAGAATTTGGGTCTTCAAATGATATTTGCATGATATATTGTGAAAAAGGTATAATTATTTGGAAGTAAAAATGGACTGAAAATGACGTTTCTCTTTTTTAATCTGGCTACATGAAAACTAGAGATTCCTTTGACTGTTGCAGCAGCACGTTTGATTTAATTATTTAAAGCAGTAATATTTTCCATGAACCATGTTTATTTTCTGTACAACTAATAATTCAATATTCTCACTTCGTAAAAACATTATAATGTATAACGTGTAGGATTGTAGAAAATCAGTGTTACGCCTATCAAAAAGGGTATAACAGTACAAATAATATGCTTTAAAGAACAGATATAGGTCAATTGGAACCTTTCAATTGGATTTTGCCACATTATTTTCTCACATAAAATGAAGTATTTATTCCTACACGCACCTCAAACTCTACTATGCAGACAAACGCAAAATATGTCGCATGATACATTTTCTTGCTGACGATTCACAAGTAAAAAAATATACATGTAGTTTAATAAAAACCTTCAAATATGATTGTGTCACATCATTTCTCACATAACTGATGTGATTTTTCTAACACACACCTCAAACTTTACCATGAAGACGAGCTCTAAATCTCGCATGCAACCACTTCTTGCTGAAGATTTACAAGAAGAAAACAACATTAATTATGATTGCGGCGCAAAAAAGGGAAATATGTAATTCAGACATGCAATTCAATTTTGCTTTTATTGCTAATAATATAACATGCAATGACATTCCAACTTTATGTAAACTGTCTGGACTATACATTCGAGAATGTTTTAGATACTTCAATATACACTAAATATAAATATACCGATTTTCCAGACCAGACATTAATTAATAAAACATATTCCTTTATAGCGAACATATGACAGTCTCGAAAACAGCTAATGAAAACTTGACAATGCTTTTTATAAAAACCTGCGATCTTTTAAAGCTTAAAACAACAACACATACAACTGCAACAACAAAACAACAGCAACAACAAGAAAAACAACAATAACAAAAAAAAAAAAAAAACAACAAAAACAAAAAAAAAAACAACAACAACAAAAAAAAAAAAAAACAACAAGAAAAAAAAACTCCTTAAAAACAGTGAAAATAAGCTGGGACCTTTTTATTTCACCCCTGTCTAAGTATAATTAAAATGTTATTAAAATAAACCGTATTAAAAGTATTTCTATAGAACTGGCTTAGGGTGTATTCAATATTTTACTGAATCAATAAATTTCAAGGACCAGAAAAACAAAGAAACTGACGTACCAATAAGGTTTTACAAGTTTACCGAAGCCTTTTATACATTACAAAACAATGGTATAAACGTTTTGTTGGTGCTGGACTGTGCTGATAGTTTAATGTTCTTTTCAAACGCCTAGCGATATATTTTTTCTTCTTATTTTGCTGAAAATATAATTATGTTATTACATTGAACATAAATCATACTAAATGTAAGCAAATGATCATTGAATCATATGTTTTCAACATTTGAAGTATTGAACTTTTAAATAAAACCAGAAAACAAGGAAATTGCAAAGAATTATTTTTTTCGCCGAACCTATGTGCACAAATCTATGGTAAGTGAAATTAGCTTTTTTACTGAGCATTTTATTATCGTGTTAAATGATGTTCTTGGACAATGAAATTGAAATGTTTAGGTTCATATTGTATTTACTCCTTGTTTTTGTCTGTTCACTAAATAACACAATATTTGTTTTGATAACTTGACAAAATACATCAAAAGCCTCTCAGTGAAACATGAATAAATATGTGTGTTTAATGTAGTTCAAAGTGAAGTAAGTGTAATCCATTATATACATCTTAATAAACAAATGCACAACAGTAATTGACTTATAATGAAACATTCGAAAGTTTTAATCTTGGTGAACGTGAGAAAGTGGTTGTATAGACTGTTGCTAATGTGAATGGGAGTGCATTTAAGATATATGTCAAAGAGAAAAGCAATGAACATTTCCTTTGAAATATCGTTTTATGGCCTTGAAATGACAATTTGTCTTTATTTGGTATCTGTTGCGAAATGAGTTGACACATTATATTGTTTTGTTTCTTTCCTTTTAGTCAAGCAAAAGCAAATGTTTTATAGTTATATTGTTATGTTGCTGTTTGAATGAAGCGTATATTTACTGGCAATTTGACGCATTCCAATCCTTCTTGTGAAAGACGACCTAAGTTGCTTCGTATATCTTTTTTCCTTTATGAACCAATTTTTAAACA